TTCAACATTTAAAACAAAAACAACTGTCTTTTAAAAATTTTCTGCCGATTTGCATTAGAGAAAACAAGTAAAACGTGTCTTTGATATTGGGAAACAAATGTTAAGGAACATTTAAAATTATCTTTGTTGACATTTTTGCTTGCAAAGTAACATTTTTCCACTTTCTGTTTACACATAGCAATATCAGTCGCCCAAACTCAGCAATATTCAAGTAGTATTTGCATCCATCTTACATGTAGAATGATTCTGTAGGGTATGAAGAGAGCCTAGAATGCGTGATATGATACATAAATACGAGAAATATGCCACGATTAACAGCTGAAGAACGAGAAAGAGCCATTGGGATGGTGCAGATGGGGTCGACATACAATGCTTTTGCCAACGCCCTCGGATGCCATCGTATCACGGTTATCAGACTTATTCAGGGAGTCCGACAGACGGGTCAAGTTAAGCAATCTACACCAGATTATATGATATATGGGGAATTGGAAAGATATCCAACAGATATACTTATAAAGGTTAGAATCATCTCATATTGGTGCAAGCTAATTTCATCAACTGGCACATTGTCTAGCATTTTATATAGGATCATGTTTACAATGAAAACGAATGACCCAAACATAAATTTACCTCTTATCAATGTTGTTAAATAATTTTGGAATCTTCTGGCTTAAACTATATATGGATATCTCAAACCTGTACAATTAAGATTTGGCTTAAAATTAACCTTGAGTCTATATTATGTAACCAGTTTTATCAGCACTGGAACGAATGTAAATCAAATCTACTAAAGACCACAATAATAATATGTTTAAGATATCTCCATGCCTTGAAAGTTATCTATTACACTTTCCATTAAATGTACGCATTTGGCTTACCTATATTAGAACTTGTAACAATAAACTCTCAATAGAAACAGGTAGATGGTATAATATTATTAAAGAAGAAAGATTATGTACACTGAGCAAGATCACAATAGGAGGTGAACTTCACTTCATGTCATATTGTCCATGTTTAAGTAATGTAAGAAATTCATTCCTACCAAATTATTATTGTAATTATCTATTAGATAAATTTATATCCCTCATGTCTTGTACGCATAAAGCACTATTGTTCAAAATAATCAACTATGTGAAAACCGGACTACGTATGCTCCAAATGAAACAAATCTGTACATTTGTATTTTTCTCTATGTCACTGTTGTGTGATCTTCATGAGAATAAACCATTCATTCAGTCAATCACCGTAGACAGACCAAGAAGTGGACGTCCACGCATCACAACGCCAGCTGAAGATAGGTACCTCCGTCATTAAGGAAGGAGAGTAGCGTTTCTTTTGGCGTTTAGTGAATATAAATTATGCAGTTATACAACTTAATGCAACATCAACATCATATGAAATCATATCACATATTACATGAATATAACATCAATATTTCACAGAAACAGGTGTCACGTGATCACATTAGCCCCGCCCACTCATGAACATTAGTCAACTCGCGCAGACTGCAGGTTTAAGGTCTACAGGTGCAACACACGGTAAATCAATAAGTGTCAGGTTTGTATGAAGCGGGTACCAGGAACAGAAAACGAAAGTAGGGCTTTTCTTAGAACGTAGAAATACTGATCGTGCGTTGTGGTCTTCGCTGAACCTGAAAATTACATTGAAGTGTATAGAATAGCTTTCGCTTCATATGTACGAGAAGTTGTATTGACGTGTTTTTGAAAAGACTCATTTTAAATGAATTTTAATGCACATTGTGGGCATCAGTGCGAGAAGAGAAGGTGACACACCCACGTCTCTCAGCTTATCTGACAAATGGGTGACAGCTGTTTATAAACTGACTTGAGGCCTAGTTGTTTGTTTTGTTTCTTTTTCTATTTCTTGTATGTTTTTTGTGTGTTTTTAAAAAAAGGTTTTATTGTTCCAAAGAGTACACGTTATATACGGTAGTTCGCATTGTCGGAGTGTGGCACACAGAATTCAAGAATATATACCAAAAGTGAGTCTAGGTTTCTGCTTGAGTTTGGAATAAAGATTGTCATGATTCTGATGACTATTATTTTTAATTGCAATGATTTTGTCTACAATGGAAATTTCTCTCAAAACAACCAAAAACCTTTGAAGTTTAATCCTATTCAAATGGTTATAGTTTGGGCAGATATGACGACATGACCCAATAATAAATCAATGTATTATGTTCCAAACAAAACAATGTATTTTGTTATTTCAGTTGTGTTTTCTATATGATTGTTCATCCAAACATCAAGTTCATTCTAGAATGCTTGTGTTTCTCTACATTCCCAATGAACATGACAAATACTCTCACGTAGCTCATACAAAGTACTGACTTGTTTTGGTAATCAAGTATCTGTAAGTCATAAAAATCCCATTCCAATCCAAAGTATCATTAGCAAAAGATGCTTGCCATTTAAGACACACTTCACTAACTCTTAATCAAGGTATTATATTAAAAAAACAGAGAGCCTTTGCATGATTCCAGTAAATTCAAATGACATTCAGTTATGAGTAAATACAAAAACTGGGATATTTCTAGAGTGTCTAATGGTATATTTCCAAGTATCAGGTAGTATATTCAAAACATGCAAATAGTCCAAATATATGCCTTTAGTACCACAAATTGCCTTCAACTTGTCAAAGGATAAGAAACCAGTTTTGTCACATAGATCCAATTATGGTTAAACCATAGTGGTTGGGCTTGGATTTCATAATTATCTCCAGAATTCACATGACTTTTTTACAATATTTGTTCCATACTTTCAAAGCATCCTTCCAATCAGTGTTATCAATATGTATTACTTGATCAACATCATACCAGATTTTAAAATGACATCAAAAGTAATATTACAGGGATTTTTAATTGTTGTTTTTCTACAATATGATCTCAGATTGGCAAGTTTCAATGCTTCACAAAAAGTTGCAGTGTCAACCATCCTTAATCCACCATCTCTGTATATCCTTTTCAAATTGTTCCTTTTGATTTTATCAGGTTTGTAATTCCCTAAGAATTTGAAGAAGATATTTTGCTATAAAGTAATGAAATCCTTTGGAGGATTAAGCATAGCATTGAATATATGAACAGGTTTTACAGAGCCTAAGTTTTCATTACAGTTATTTTACCAATCAGAGTCAAATGTATTTTCCTCCATTGTGCAAGCAGTTTATTTAATTCCTCTAGTCTTTTTTTGTATTGATTCCTCACAAATTGTTAAGATCTAAGTGGAATTTAATTCCCAAGGCTTCAAACACAGTATTTTGCCATTCTATTTTAATGTCTTTGCATGATAAATCAGTACCATTTCTCTTTGAGACAATCCATATTGCTTTTGACTTATCGTTAATTTTAAGCAATGTTTATTTCATCAATAGCAGCCTTTAAGCTTTGTTCACTCCCACCAAGAAATACTTCAGTATCATCTACATATTGATTTAATTAATAGTTACTCATTATTGGTTGTTATAGAGTAGGTTAAGTTGTCTCATTTCAAAATTACATTCAATGCAAACCGTCACGATAGTCCGCGACGTCTGAATACCTACCGTCCCTTCAGTACGAACCGCCTCCGTGGTGTAGTGGTTAGAGCGTCCGCCCGGAGAGCGGAAGGTCGCGGGTTCGATCCCCGGCCGCGTCTTACCAAAAGCTGTTAAAATATGGTACCTGTTGATCCCTGCCTGACTTTCGGCATTAATGGGTACAACAAGGACTGGTCGGCTCGAGTCAGTATAATGTGTCTCAGTAGGGTATTCATGCTTCACTGCGGCATGGTATCTCAGTGGGCTAGCACTATAAAACCAGCTTCAGTCTGGGCTAGTACAAGCAGCCGCACATACACATACACACGCTTGCACGTCGTCATATGAGTGAAATTTTCTCAAGCACGACGTTAAACCCAATTTCACATCACCGTCCCTTCAGTACGAAGACCCATTATTAACCTTGATTGACCGTCCCATTACATCGTATCTTACGTCCAGCATCATTTCTGGGAATCTTTCTATCCCGGAATCTTGAAAGATGAAGATAAGATGAATAAGTCCTTGTAAAGGATCAGTTTTCCATAATTTTTTGTTGCTACTGTTCAAATAACTTTTGAAAGAAAATATACCAATTATTATTTCTGCAATCTTCTATTTTCATTTTATTTATCATGGTTATTGGTTTTGAATCATGGTTATTGGTTTTGGATCATGGTTATTGGTTTTGGATCATGGTTATTGGTTTTGGATCATGTCATGGTTATTGGTTTTGGATCATGGTTATTGGTTTTGGTTATTGGTTTTGGATCATGGTTATTGGTTTTGGATCATAGTTATTGGTTATGGATCATGGTTATTGGTTTTGGATCATGGTTATTGCTTATGGATCATGTTTATTGGTTATGGATCATGGTCATTTGTTTTGGATCATGGTTATTGATTTTGGGTCATGGTTATTGGTTTTGGATCATGGTTATTGGTTTTGGTTATTGGTTTTTCGATCATGGTTATTGGTTTTGGATCATGGTTATTGGTTATTGATCATGGTTATTGGTTTTGGATCATGGTTATTGGTTATGGATCATGGTTATTGGTTTTGGATCATGGTTATTGGATTTGGATCATGGTTATTAGTTTTGGATCATGGTTATTGGTTTTGGATCATGGTTATTGGTTTTGGATCATGGTTATTGGTTTTGTTCGATTGTCAGATGTGAAGGAATGTAACTGAGATGGAAAACTTATAAGTATTGAAAGTTAAAAACAGGACAGTGTTATTAATGTCATCTTTAACCACTGAAGTCTGGGTCGACTGAAAATGTCGACTTTTTAAGACAATTATTGTCTCTTTACAGGCGTCATATTTATGGAATATTGCTAAAAGCAGCGTACAACCGTACTCACTCACTCAGTTTCCATATTTAAAGATGTGAGAAAATATATCATTTCTGAATTTTTTTAGAGAAAAATTATGCCAAAATCACACACAGAACAAATTCAAATAAGATCAATGAAGGTTTTAATCACACTTGTATACTAACAAAACAACAGTGCCACGGTGTCTCATTTGGACAGTTAGCAGTGAAAAATATCATAACATCAAGGATAGCATAACAAAAGTTGTTGCCGGTCTCAAGGGACAAAAATCTAATCATCAGAACAATATATATCATCAGAATGAGAAGCAAGGATATATACTTCAGCTCCCTCTCTCTGGCAGTTTCAGGCGATAAGATGTATACAGTATCTACATTCAGTTTGAGTATTGAATAACTGTCAAAACAAGGTAAACATATTAAAAACAAAGATATAAACATTCAACAAAGTAATAAAAAAGACCAAACAATTCCTGATCATAAGTCTCTGCCTAAGGCGATGGCACGATTCAGCGAGACGAATCCCCAATTTCATTACATTATAAAAAAGGCAATGGTTCAATAATGTCCTTAAATAGCTTTTTATCGAAATGGATATTAAGACAATAGGAATCGAACCTCTGAAATTGGTTGGACAGTTATGTTAAGTTTCACTCTTTGGTGACAATGTTTTCGGCGGTCGCCGTACAACAGGCCGTGTGCATAAAACTCCATTAGCCCTAAGATGAGTAAATGTTGCATTGCTACTGGTAAAATTTGATAAAAATGTAAACGAATTAATTGGTATCGTTATCAAATAAAACAAACACATGTTGAGATTGCAGTCCAAGAAATAATGAGATGTCAATATACAATATTGAAGTTTAAATGTTAAGAATCGATAAATCTGTTTCTATCACAGGGAGACGTTTCTGTTACAAGCAGAGTCCACTGAACGTTTCCGATATCTGAGCAAGAACCACAAAACACTTTTTGAATGGAAATCTTCGTAGAAAGAACACATGGCTTCAAACACAGACACCTAAGGAAGGTGAAGGAAGGTACATATTCATCAGCATACAGAAACACGTTAGCTTGGGAGCAAATTTTGTGTCAAAGTTTAGTTCCTTCAAAAATAGCTTATCCCAAAACTAGTGTACAAAGAAGGGATAGTGGTGTACACAGAAGGGACAGTGTAGTACAAAGAAGGGATAGTGGTGAACAAAGAAGGGATAGTGAGGCTAATAGTATACAAAGTAGGGAAAGGTCTCTAACTGAGTGAGTGAAGAACCTATGAAATATGACTTGCATCAGGCATATGTATGAGATGGGTTGCCTGTCTGTGATTGGCTACTCTATGGTGATGACCAAAGGTCAAATTACGACGGATTACGCCCGTATCCAAACTGGCTACTACAACTGTGACAGTGAGGCGAGTGACAAGCCACTTTTATACAACAAAGTGATCCTATCGACAACACGCGGAGGCATACAACCACCATAGAAGAAGGATAGTGAAATGAACGTTGTGCCACGTATACACGTCCCACTGTAATAATAAGAAAAGACAACATATATGTCCATTTGAGTTAAGGGTGTACGAGAAACGTAATACTTCATGCCTTCAAGATATGATTTATCTTACAACACGATGTTCGCGTTTTGAGACAACTCGAATGATAAACCGTATGTGAGAGTCAGTCGTGTAGGAATCTCTATTTGTGCAATATCTACCACAACAAATCTTTTAAGTCAGTTTTACATGAGAAAACTAAAGACGATAACAAGAAACCTAGGCGGTTGTAAAGTTTTCGCCATTCATCATTGACGTCATCATCGCTTGACAAAAGCTATGGAACTCCAGCGAGTTCTGGTGCACTGTGATCAGGATCTGGTTACTGCATGTAGAGGCCGATGGCAGCCGCCAGGTGGCTCTGTTAAACACAATGCTGGGTTTGGGCACGAACCCGCCAGCTGGTTCCCTACTACATCCGGTAACAAACGCTAGCAGTCTCCCTGGAGTTAATCTCCGCGCAAACTCGGTCTGACTTCGGGTCAAACGCTGGCTCTCCCTGAGCACGCCACACAAGCTGCCACCTGGAAGATGAACACAATATGTCAGTTAGTTAGACAACACCCGCATTTTCACAATGTTCGTAATGGACAGAATCACACTAAAAGTTACCAATTTCCTAATTCCGCACTCACCATATTCATAATTCTGCACACCTACCTATTTCTTAATTCCACAAACGTATCTATTTCCTAATTCCGCACACCTATCTATTTCCTAATTCAAGATACTTACCTATTTCCTAATTCTGCAAACTTCCAACTTTAACAATTCCGCTTATCGCATGTATAATTCAGCAAGCTTATCCATTCAATATTTCTGCTTTTTAATTCCTCTATCTTATCAATTGGTATTTCCTCAAACTTCCAACTTTTATAATTCTACAAACTTATTACATTCATAATTCAAACTTACCCCATTTAATATTTTCGATAACTTACAACTTATATTATTCTGCAGAGTTACCACTATTTCCGCAAATTCAAGCATAATTCCGCATATCTACCGCGATATTTTTGCTGAACTGTACCGCAATAAAGAAATTCAGCACTGTACCTTGAACTTCTCAAACCCTGCAACTCTCGATAACAGTTTTCGTATGTCTTCGTTGTTATTTAAATGATTCGCCTTTCTGAGAAGCTGACGACATTATGTTTGCATTGTCTCATAGTTTTAGTTTTCAGTATGAAATAATCGTTCAGAATTAGCCTTTGGTAAGATAAACGATGTGACACATGTCATGGTATCCCGATTGTGTAGATTGTTATGCTCATGCTGTTTATCACTGGATTGTCCGGTCCAGACTTGATTATTTACAGACCGCCATCATCTAGCTGGTACATAGCTGAGTGAGGCGTTAAATATCAAACAAGCGATGTGAGTTAATATTTCCCGTAAAAGAAACAGTAGCTGTGAAATGTATGAACTCACGAAATTGTCAAATTTATCAGCTTGGTCGTTAATCCTCCAGACAGTTGATATTATCCTGTAATTTTGTTAACAATTTAAATAGAAGCCCCTTTGAATGCTGATTTCATTAACGTTCTTCATGATGGTTACATCTATACATTAAGAAGATAAACTTTGTGTATTTTCAGACTTGCTGGAGTGTCTGAGAATTTGCATTCACACATTTCAAAGAGGCTGATGAAGACAATTATTATAACCATTATATATATATATATATATATATATATATATATATATATATATATATATATATATATATATCAGAAGTCGTGAATAGTCTTGATTTCTGATATCCAAGATATATATTCGTACGAATGAGATATGGTTTGCTTGCTTAAATATTGTGATCCATATAACATCGCTGATCTAAAGCAAAAGACATCTGAAATAGGCACCAAACGAGTGAGTGAGTATGGTTTTACGGCAATATTCCAACAATGGGTTTCACACATTTTACCCATGTGGGGAATCGGACCCAGGTGGCTAGAGGACGCTTGACTATCAGGCTACCCCACCGCCCCGCACCTAACCAAGGAAGAGTTAGTGAACTACCACCATTTCATTTGTCATAATAGTTTAGGATTCACCAGTTTGTGCCAAGAGGTAAACCAAGCATTGATTCTCTTGCACCCGTCTATGACTTCTATAATCTTACTTTCAGCTGCTTGTAGGAATCTGCTTAGGTTGTCAAGGATCTGTTGTTCGTCGCTATGGCAAGGCTCATCTGGTCTCAGCAGATCCATAACCCTTTCGGCCGTGACCTCAACATCCGATTTATACTCAAGCAAATCTCGTAACGTGTGACTTCTGATGAGATCCAGAATCTGACAATATTAGAAACCGAAAGTAAAATATAGATCTACCATGATGTTTGATCAAGTGACACCTAAGTGGGAGCACTTCGAGAGCAAGCTATATCAGTCTGAGGCTCTGGAATAAATGGTGTGCCAATATGGGAATCGAACCCTGCTGTTCGAGGTAACTGGCATAAACAACTCATTGACGACCCATTGAGAAGATGAGAGACTTTTGCACTACTTTGCGCATGCAATTACGCGCACCACATTACAACTTCCGGGGAAAATAGTCCCATTGACAATACCACAATTCGTAACTACTTGCCTCTGCCCGTGACCAACAAGAAGGCTTGTCCGGAATAACACGAGTTGGTCACGAATGACAATACCACATGTTTGCTTACAATCACCTGAGGTCCACCCAGTTACTGCCTCTTAACCTGCAGCATGTGGTTGTGGGATATTGTCTTGTGGGTGATGTAATCTTTTCTGAAACTCTGATGCCTGTGAAGAAAGAGATACTCACCCCGCAGTGACGCAAGCCTTCAATCAGCTGGTCAAGCATTGGCTTGCTCTGCAGTATGACGAAATGCTGGACACATCCTTTGAGGAACTCATCTCTACTGGCCATGGTAACATAAGAGGGGATACCGTCCAGGTCGTATCTCCAGTCACACTCCTCTAGAGCCTCCCGTAGCTCGGTCGCGTCTCGAGCTTCCGACACCTGGGACATACACAAGAATGAGTTTAGTTTAACGCTGCTGTTAGCTATATCTAGCGTTATCACGCCGGGGGAAATTATAAATGGGCTTCATACATTGTACCCATGTGGGGCATGGAACCCAGGTCTTCGGCGTGACGAGTAAACGTTTTAACCACTAGGCTACCCCACCGCCCTGACAAACACAAGAGTGCAATACTCGTAGGACTATTACTGGACTTGTCCTTGAGGCGTATAAGAATTAATTTGTTAATCAAATTGTTCCAGAAAAAAATAAATGAATATAAGCTGCCTCGAATATTTTTAAAGTTGTTGGCTGGACATGCTGGACGACCTTAACAATGGGTGGTTTAAAACATGTTCTATGTCAGTGTTGACCTGTTCTATGTCAGTGTTGACCTGTTCCATGTTAGTGTTGAACTGTTCCATGTTAGATTTGACCTGTTCTATGTCAGTGTTGACCTGTTCTATGTCAGTGTTGACCTGTTCCATGTTAGTGTTGACCTGTATTGTGTCAGTGTTGACCTGTTCTATGTTAGTGTTGACCTGTACTGTGTCAGTGTTGACCTGTTCTATGTTAGTGTTGACCTGTACTGTGTCAGTGTTGACCTGTTCTATGTTAGTGTTGACCTGTACTGTGTCAGTGTTGACCTGTTCCATGTTAGGGTTGACCTGTACTGTGTCAGTGTTGACCTGTTCTATGTTAGTGTTGACCTGTACTGTGTCAGGGTTGACCTGTTCCATGTTAGTGTTGACCTGTACTGTGTCAGTGTTGACCTGTTCTATGTCAGTGTTGACCTGTTCTATGTCAGTGTTGACCTGTTCCATGTCAGTGTTGACCTGTACTATGTCAGTGTTGACCTGTTCCATGTCAGTGTTGACCTGTTCTATGTTAGTGTTGACCTGTTCCATGTTAGTGTTGACTTGTTCTATGTTAGTGTTGAACTGTTCCATGTTAGATTTGACCTGTTCTATGTCAGTGTTGACCTGTTCTATGTCAGTGTTGACCTGTTCCATGTTAGTGTTGACCTGTATTGTGTCAGTGTTGACCTGTTCTATGTTAGTGTTGACCTGTACTGTGTCAGTGTTGACCTGTTCTATGTTAGTGTTGACCTGTACTGTGTCAGTGTTGACCTGTTCTATGTTAGTGTTGACCTGTACTGTGTCAGTGTTGACCTGTTCCATGTTAGGGTTGACCTGTACTGTGTCAGTGTTGACCTGTTCTATGTTAGTGTTGACCTGTACTGTGTCAGGGTTGACCTGTTCCATGTTAGTGTTGACCTGTACTGTGTCAGTGTTGACCTGTTCTATGTCAGTGTTGACCTGTTCTATGTCAGTGTTGACCTGTTCCATGTCAGTGTTGACCTGTACTATGTCAGTGTTGACCTGTTCCATGTCAGTGTTGACCTGTTCTATGTTAGTGTTGACCTGTTCCATGTTAGTGTTGACCTGTACTGTGTCAGTGTTGACCTGTTCTATGTCAGTGTTGACCTGTTCTATGTCAGTTTTGACCTGTTCTATGTCAGTGTTGACCTGTTCCATGTCAGTGTTGACCTGTACTATGTCAGTGTTGACCTATTCCATGTCAGTGTTGACCTGTTCCATGTCAGTGTTGACCTGTTCTATGTCAGTTTTGACCTGTTCTATGTCAGTTTTGACCTGTTCTGTGTCAGTGTTGACCTGTTGTACGTCAGTGTTGACCGGTTCTATGTCAGTGTTGACCTGTTCTATGTCAGTGTTGACCTGTTCTATGTTAGTGTTGACCTGTTCTATGTTAGTGTTGACTTGTTCCATGTTAGTGTTGACTTGTTCTGTGTTAGTGTTGACTTGTTCTGTGTAAGTGTTGACCTGTTATATGTTAGTGTTGACTTGTTCCATGTTAGTTTTGACTTGTTCCATGTTAGTGTTGACTTGTTCTATGTTAATGTTGACCTGTTCTATGTTAGTGTTGACCTGTTCTATGTTAGTGTTGACTTGTTTTATGCTAGTGTTGACCTGTTCTGTGTTAGTGTTGACCTGATCTGTGTTAGTGTTGACTTGTTCTATGTTAGTGTTGACTTGTTCTATGTTAGTGTTGACTTGTTCTATGTCAGTGTTGACCTGTTCTATGTTAGTGTTGACCTGTTCTATGTTAGTGTTGACTTGTTTTATGCTAGTGTTGACCTGTTCTATGTTAGTGTTGACCTGTTCCATGTCAGTGTTGACCTGTTCTATTAAAGAAACCGTAATGGGATGTGGCTTAGGTGATCTAAATACTAATCATTTTATGTGTTATATTTGCCATCATTTCTTTTTTATTGGCATCAAATTATTGAATTCTCTTTGTCGATGTCTATAGATGTATTTATAGACAGCGTGAATGTCAAAGCGATCGAAATCTAAGACAATGGTAACACTTCTGTAATTATATACCTTTTTTAAAGATTTTCTCTTCCGTGTGTCGGGCACATAATCCACAGACGGCATCTCATCTTTATCCAGTATAGCATCAACGACAGGAGGAGCAAATATGGCGGGAGGTTGTCCACCTTGAGCAATGATGGTGGCCAGCATGACCCCCATGACCCGGAAGTGCTTCTTTAAATAGGCAGATATGTTGGGTCGAATCAGAAATCCTTGGTTTTCATCCCCTGTTAGAATATACAAAATATATGAGAACGAGTGAGAGTAGTTTTACGCCGCTTTCTTTGATATGACGGCATTTAGACGTCGAGTGTCACGATTTAGGTATTTCATACGTAATACCCATCTGATGAATCCGGGCTTTCTTATGACGATTGCCTGGTCCATAGTTGGATTGTTTATAGGCCGCCGCAATATGGCTGAAATACTGCTCAGTGCTGCGTTAAACATCAAACCAACCAAATCATACTGAGTACTGACCGCGAAGCAGCCTGCTGTCGGCGACGATGGACTCCAGCAGCAGACGTAGATACTCTCAACATGGTCCCCCTGTGTCGACGCCATCCTCACGTCTGCCAGCAGAATCAGTGAAAGTCACCTACCATTAGAGGAATAGAATAAGGGTGACTTTGCAGGTTAAAGTGTGTGTGTGTGTGTGTGTGTGTGTGTGTGTGAGAGAGAGAGAGAGAGAGAGAGAGAGAGAGAGAGAGAGAGAGAGAGAGAGAGAGACAGAGACAGACAGGGTCAGAGAGAGACAGACAGAGAGTGACAGAGAGTATATTCCAAATATTCCAGCAATATCACGGCGGGGGACACCAGCAGACATGAGCTTCACACTCTGTAAACCCAGGTCTTCGGCGTGAGGTGATTTCTTTATTTATTACTGCGGAGTCACTGGAGGACACTCACTTAGACAGACAAGTTGTCAATACCAGAGTGAGTGAGTTTATTTTACACCTAATTTCCACCAGCAACAGCGTCAACAGTAATGACAAAGTCGCCCGTGAAGATTGGCATTGGTCTTCAGCAACCCATGCTTGTCGTAAAAGGAGACTAACGGGATAGGGTGTTCATGGTCGCGGACTTGGTTGTCACATGTCATCCTATTCCAGTTGCGTAGATTGATGCTCATGACGTTGATCACTAGGTGCAGCGTTTAAGAACAAACAATTGTGAATTGGGTTTTCAGTTATATCTGGGTCTGTACGGTAGCATGATTGTTCAAATGATGTCAAACATCAGAGTTCGATTCCTTTCATGGGTAAATTTGTGAAGCCTTTTTCTGCTGCATCATTTCTCAAAGCATTCACTGCAACAATCATCGTTTGGACATGTAAAATATCGATCTGTTCATACCATTAACTCTTTAGCCCCTGTTTGATACACAAACATCCTTGAAGAAGGCCATGCTGCTGGACCAGATGTTGTTCCTGTTGACGCAGAACCGACTGACTCGAAACTCCATACATCGACTTAGATGCTCCCGGACAAGGCGTTGTAGAACCAGTAGGTTCATCTCTAGCAATAAAAGGTTTATATCTTGTTATCAAGAAAGGAGCCCACTATACAAACGGACAAAGGTAACTGTGTACATCATAAAATTACATTAAATATAAGTTATTTGAAAAGTTATAAAATGACCCTAAATAAACATGTAGCCAAGCACTTTCAGGCGCGAACAAGCCAATTTTTCGTGTAGGCCCGATAGGTTGCAAACTTTATATTTTGATAGTACGGAGGGCTTGCACAAATTTCATGCTGATCTTTAGCAAACATCGTGTGCAAGCCTGGGCTGTTTATTATAATGGTAGCTACGCCCCTGACTTTACATGAAATTGGAAGTCGCAGCGTGGCTCGTGCACTTTGTGCACAATGACACCTGCAGTTTACACATCTAATACTGAAAATTATAAAGAAAGGAGACAACTATTTATAGATTATATAGATAGCTTCGGTAGCCGTAATCATGTGCTACACCATATAAACATATTGACGTGACACTACACAACTTGAGTACAAGTTACGGACAGACGATCTGAAATCGTCTACATACAGTTCATCTCCATGCTCGAAGGCCACGTGTTGTGCCACAAATCGTTATTGCCAACATATGGTGAAACTGGGGCACCATTGTTGGTCAGGTTTCGTGTTTCTCCGATTCCCTCTGCACTATCTAGGTTGGCGTCGTCGTATCTGACGATGCCGAGATGAACGTCCAGCCCATGTCAGAATGAGGCTTCATGCCAGTTTGGGTGTTGGATCCGGCATGTGTGGTGTGGTTATGGCTGAAGGAACTCCCAACATAATATTCAAGGACAGGTCAATAGAGAGAACTACCAGGACAAATACAGACACCCTTCATAGTCCTGCTTACATGGCTTATTAACAGGTGTTTCTTATTGATAAGGCAAGTGACTCCTTTTTGAAGGTAAGTGTCCCCTATTTGATGGCAAGTGTCTCATATTTGATGGCAAGTGTCTGTTATTAGTTGGCAAGTGTCTCCTATTTGAAGACAAGTGTCTCATATTTGATGAAGGCAAGTGTCTCATATTTGATCGCAAGTGTATCTTATTAGTTGGCAAGTGTCTCCTATTTGAAGTTCAAGTGTCTCCTATTTGAAGGCAAGTGTCTCTTATTCTAGAAGGTAAGTGTCCCCTATTTGAAGGCACGTGTCTCTCATTGGAAAGCAAATGGCTCCCATTTGATGGCAAGTGTCTTCTATTTGAGGGCAAGTGTTTCCTATTTGAAGGCAAGTGTTTCCTATTTGAAGGCAAGTGTTTCATATTTGAAGGCAAGTGTCTCTTATTAAAGTTGCAATTCAATAAAGGTCAGCTCCAGTTATATTATTAGTCGCTTTTATCTTTGCACGGATTCTGTTCTGGTCCCTACGTCGTTCAATGTTCTGCCTCGTGAAGATCCGGGTTAGAAAAGGTCTTCAGCAACTAACGGGTGAGTAAAGGGATCGGGTGGTCTGTCTCTCTGACTTTGTTGACACATCGTATCCCAACTGATCCATGCCGTGGATCACTGGATTGTCTGGTTCAGACTCGATTATTTATAGCTGGAATATTGCTGAGTGCGGTGTTAAACAACAAACAAAACAATGTATCTGTGGATGAGAATACACTGACCTCAATGGCCTTCCAAGATCTGCCTCCTCTGGGTTCAGATTTGCAGCAATAGCAACAGCAAAAGCATCCTCATTACTGAGACTACCGTTTAACTGTTGCGACCTCGCCAACTTCCGTAACACAAATATCACTTTCAATAGCATCCTCCCCCAAGAGGTGTCATTAAATATAGGACATCATCACTTATTGTGAATTACTGAATTTTATAAAGACTCTTCAATAATTCTTAAAAAACAGAACTTTTGAAATCGTTCGAAAAGTAACAGCTTGAATAAGTGAGTGAATTGAGTATTACACAGCCTTGAACAGTATTAAAGCTTAGTGTTGGAGAAAAGCTAAATGTAATGCATGCTTCACGATTTTACCACAAGCATGGGTATAGCACTGACAAATGTATTGAGATGATGGATGCGACCCACGATTCAAAGCCAAGATGACTGGTTCCTGGCGTGCCAAAGGGACGCAACTCTTTACAACTAATGGGGCGCCGTAGACAACTGGAACATCCATGCTAACCAGAAGATTTAGAAAGTTGTGTTTATACGATTTCATTTCTGCAAGTTTTGGGTTGGCTTACTTTAAAGTATTGGCTAGAATGTGTCAGAAAAAAAAATGTAAAAGGTTGTCAAGAACTGTTTTCGTATATTACAACACAACCAAGTCGTTAACCCATATAAACGTCATATAAACGCTCTTTTGCTTTTGCTAGCAGCACATGAGTGGAACTGTTTTCCTCTTGATATTAAATCTTCAGAGTCCCGTTTGAAAACATATCTTTTTACCATTTGGGTGAAATCCATCAGGGAGGCAGCCCTGACAGGTTATTTGTCTTAGGCTATTGCGACACCCGACCAGAATAACTCATGAAGGCGATGCTTGTTTATACATAAAACTTACTGTTGGGTAGGTGTTCGCCTCTATGTTGGTGGAAGGGGCGTAGGGGTGGTGTCAGACTTTGTACAGGTGGGGTAGGGAGTGGTGTATCCTGGTGATCAGTTTGACCATGTCCTGTGTCACGAGGTGGCCTGGGCGTGGAATCAGCATTCCCCTGAACATGGTCAATGTCGGTCGGTGTCGGCACACGTTGCCAAAAGGAACTGCTTCCGGTGAATAAGATGTCTGCCTGTTTCCGGCCCCCTCTTTCATGACATACTGTGTGATTTGCGAGGCTCACAAAATCTCGACCACAATCAGGACACACCGGCCTTTGGTTTTGATACGTCCTTGAAAGTCCCACCACAATCTGGACACACTTGCTTCACCACAAAGCTCATGATGCGCGTTGCTCTTGGTTATCCTGACCACTGTAAAGTAAACATGGCTTTAAACACTCACTAGTGTTCTCATTAACAGAGTCAATCACCGAGTATGATTAAGTTCGGTAAAAGGCGTTATCAAAGTCCTTCCAAGCACATATGATTAAATATATCCCTAATATATCACACTATACGACAACACACGTGGGTAAGATGTTTATTGGAAAATGTCGTTCTTTTAAAAAATGAACGTTTGGGGCATTTTTCACTAAGAGATGTAAACGTAGAAAACCTGTACGTACTTACATATACTTGCAGAAATTATTACAACCTCATACAGATCACTGTGGACACAATATGCACCTGTAGGAATTAGTACTACCTCATGTAGATTACCGTGGACACAATGTGAACATGTAGGAATGAGTACGACCTCAAGCTGCGAGATTACTGTGGACACAATATGAACGTGTAGGAATTAGTACTACCTCATACAGATCACAGTGGGTGCAATGTGTACCTGTAGGAATTATTCCTACCTCCTTACAGATCACTGTGGACACAATGTGAACCTGTAGGAATTAGTACTACCTCACCTCATACACATCACTGTGTCACAATGTGAACCTGTAGGAATTAGTACTACCTCATACAGATAACTGTTGACACAATATGAACGTGTAGGAATTGAGTACTACCTCATACAGGATCACCGTTGGTACAATGTGTACCTGTAGGAATTAATACTACCTCATACAGATCACTGTGGACAATAATGTGAACCTGTAGGAATTAGTACTACCTCATATAGATCACCGTGTACACAATGTGTACCTGTAGGAATTATTACTACCTCATACAGAGTACTGTGGACACAATGTGAACATGTAGGAATTAGCACTACCCTCATACAGATAACTGTGGACACAATGTGCTTACCTGTAGGAATTAATACCACCTCATAAAGATCATTGTGGACACAATGTGAACATGTAGGAATTAGTACTACCTCATACAGATCACTGAAAACAATGTGAACCTGTCCAGGAATTAATACTACCTCATACAGATCACTGTGGACACAATGTGAACATGTAGGAATTAGTACTACCTCTTACAGATCACCGTGGAAAACAATGAACATGTAGGAATTAATGCTACCTCATACACGGTCACCGTGGACGCACAGGAACCTGTAGGAATTAGTACTACCTCATGCACAGATCACCGTGGAAAAAAATGTGTACCTGTAGGGAATTAATACTGCATCATACAGATCACTGTGGACTGCAATGTAAACCTGTAGGAATTAGTACCAACCTCATACAGGTCACCGTGGACTGCAATGTGTACTTGTAGGAATTAATACCATATCCATACAGATCACCGTTGACATTGCGTCCCTGATGACCTGTGCACTACAGGTTTATTGTCCAGGAATAAGTGGTCTGAATACACATTTTTCCACGGTGATCTGTATGAATGAATTCTATTAGATCACGGTGACCTGTATGAGGTAGTATTCTACATGTTATTGTTTTCCTGCGGTGATCTCTGTAAGGAAGTGTACTAATTCCTACATGTTCACGGTAATGATCCTGATGATCTGTATGAGGTAGTATTAATTCCTACAGGTTCATTGTTTTCCACAGTGATCTGTGAGAATAGTACTAATTCTACATGTTACATTACAATGATCGAAGTGGTATTATTCCTACAGGTGCACAATCCTGATTATCTGTATGAGGTAGTGCTGAATTCCTACATGTTCATTGTGTCCACGGTACTCTGTATGGTGAAATAATAATTCTACAATTACGTGTGTACTGATGATCTATGGTGGTATAATTCCTACAGGTTCGATGACATCCCTGACCAATCAATATGAGTAGTATTCTGGTGCATTAACTATAACAGTGATCTGTGAATGATATAGTCTACGTTCATATTTCAATGATCAACTGAATATCTAATATGAGGTAGTACTAATTCCTACAGGTTCCTGATAATGACCTGATGATATTATGGTGAGGGTAGTACTAATTCCTGCAGGTCAATGTGTCCACAGTGATAATAGTGAGTCTACAGGTACATTGTACCCACTGTGATCTGTATGAGGGTGGTACTAAATTCCTACACGTTCATATTGTGGCTCCACAGTAATCTGCTTGAGGGTCGTACTCGATTTCCTACATGTATTCACGTATTGTGTCCCTCGGTAATCTACATGAGGTGAGTACTAATTCCTACAAGGTGCATATTATTGATCCACATTGATCTCTGTATGAGGGTTGTAATAATTTCTGCAGAGTATATGTAAGTACGTACAGGTTTTCTACGTTTACATCTCTTAGTAAAGAAAATGCCCCAAACGTTCATTTTTAAAAGACGACATTTTTTTCAATAAACATCTTACCCACGTGTGTTGTCGTATAGTGTGATATATTAGGGATATATTTAATCCTTAATAATGTGGAAGGGACTTTGATAACGCCTTTTTACCGAACTAATCATGCTCGATGATTGACTCTGTTATTGAGAACACTAGTGAGTGTTTAAAGCCATCACTTTACTTTGATGGTCAAGGATAACCAAGAGCAACGCGCGCATCATGAGCTTTGTGAACAGGTAAACGTAATGTCCAGATTGTGAATTAGGACTTTCAGGACGGCATCAAAACCAAAGGCCGGTGTGTCTGATTGTGAGTCGAGATTTTGTGAGGCCTCGCGAAATCCACACAGGTATGTCGCCAGAAAGAGGGGCCGGAAACAGGCGAACCCCTCTTATTCACCGGAAGCGGTTCCTTGGCCTGGCGTGTGCCGACACCGATACGACATTGACCATGTTCGGGGGAATGCTGATTCCACGCCAGGCCACCTCGTGACACAGGACATGAGTCAAGAGCTGATCTCCCGGATACACCACTCCTACCCACCTGTACAAAGTCTGGCGCACCCTCGCCCCTTCCACCAACATAGAGGCGAAGACACCTACCCAACGGTAAGTTTATTAGCGCTAAAGCAAAGCATCGCCTTCATGAGTTATTTATTCTGGTCGAAATGTCGCAATAGCCTAAGACAAATAACCTTATATCAGGGCTGCCTTCCTGATGGATTTCACCCAAATGGTAAAGATATGTTTTCAAACGGGACTCTGAAGATTTAATATCATCAAGTTCACTCATGTGCTCGTAACATAGCAAAGCGAAAGAGCGTTTATATGACGTTTATATGGGTTGGTTAACGACTTGGTTGTGTTTGTAATATACGAAAACAGTTCTTGACGAACCTTTTACATTTTTTTTCTGACACATTCTAGCCAATGCTTTAAAATAAGCCAATGACCCAAAACTTGCAGAAATGGAAATCCGTATAAACCACAGCTTTCTAAATCTTCTGGTTAGCATGGATGTTCCAGTTGTCCTACGGCGCCCATTAGTTGTAAAGAGTTGCGTCCTTTGGCATAGGAACCAGTCATCTTGGCTTTGGAATCGTTTGGAGTCGCATCCATCATCTCAATACGACATTGTCAGTGCTATACCCATGCTTGTGAAGAATCGTGAAGCATGCATTACATTTTAGCTTTTCTCCAACACTAAGCTTTTAATACTGTTCAAGGCTGTGTAATACTCGAATTCCGCTCCTTATTCAAGCTGTTACTTTCGAACGATTTCAAAAGTTCTGTTTTAAGAATTATTAGAAGAGTCTTTATAAAATTCAATAATTCACAATAAGTGATGATGTCCTATATTTCAGTGAGCACCTCTTAGAAGTCTTGCTATTAGAGGCCCGATATTTGTTATTACGAGAAGTTGGCGAGGTCGCAACAGTTAAAACC